ACCACGCATAGCATACAGATCTCGAGGTTAACAATGTAGATGACCGTATGGTGTATTGTTTCCAATCACATTTGACAAACGAAGCAAACATTGATTGTATCATAATATATTACGACACAGCAAAGTGAATAACAAGACTAACCGAGCCTGAGGCAGGGTAAGGGACTGAAGAGCCTCAATGGCAGCTACCCACCACCATAGCGGAGCGGGGTAAAGCAATTCCGTCCAGACTTCCAAGGCCGTGCCTAGACCTTACCTTCGGCGCCGATGACCGCCAAGTACCGCTCAACGTTGGCCAAGGGCTAGCTCCAACCATTAGGAATACGGAAAGTAATGTGGAGTAGGACTTACCGACAACTGGGGTCTTGGTCACCAAGCAGTCGTACTCTGTCCAAGCAATCGTATCTAGCGACCTTCTTAACCGGGGCATCGGTGCTGACGGACTAGGATCTTTTGAATCCTAGCTGGGCATTGGCTAAGAGATTAACAGGTTTATCAGATGTGGTAGTAAGTGTAGTTGCAGGACCAAGGAGGATATCGGCTCGTGGGTTATCCGTAGGAAGATGAGTAAAGAGTATATGAAGGTGTGGGGAGTCTGGGGCAGATGATGTCTAGGAACCTCTCAAACGACCAGTCTGATAGAGAGTCGTTGTCACCATGGTTCACGTACCTTCGCTGTCGGTTATTGGTTCTGCATTGGTCGGGTTGAGCAATGCTGCTGCCTTGGGTACTGCGGAAGAGTATGCTGATGGAACGGTGCATGCGAGGATCATGGCAATGAAGACAGTACGCTTTCATTACTGCAATTGAAGTTACTGGTTCTTGACTAACACGGCTAGGCGCAATGGGACGCTGAAATCGCCTCTGGAGAGATGGATAGCACCCGGTATCCCGAACTTGGTTATACGTCGTGTGAGAACGGCTTTGCTGCTGCAATCCCTGGTGACTTCAACAACACATTCAAATGCCATAATGTTGGTCTACTCGAACTTAGAGCGTTTCGCAAATTGCTGACATGCGAAGATCGATCTCTACCATTTCCTTCCACATTCCCTCCTCGGCAGCTCTCAAGGCCAAGGATCCTCTTCCTGGGGATGGACATCCGAAGATGGACGCGAGTTCGTAGCAATCGGTCAATTTGATGGCACAGCCTTTGCAGAAATCAGCAGTGAAGGGAAGCTCATCTATCTCGGTCGCCTGCCTCCTTTTGACCCTATCGGATCCCGCTGGCGTGAGATTCGCGTGATGAGGGACTACGCCGTCATTGGTAGCGAGGCCATCAACCACGGTGTTCAGATATTTGACATGAAGAAGTTGCTTGATATCGATGGGAGTGAGCCTGTGAACTTCACCCAAGAGGATCTGACTGGCCATTGGGGGCTGAGCGATGATTGGAATGCCCTCCCGGTTGGCCGGACCCACAACATTGTCGTCAACGAAGAGCTCAACTACGCCGTAGCAGTCGGTTCCGTCGGCGGCAATGAGACTATTCGTGTTCGTGGTGACTTGCCATGCCGTGGAGGTCTAATCTACATTGACATGAGCGACCCAAGTAACCCTACGAGCCCTGGCTGCGCAGCCGCAGATGGATACGTCCATGATGCCGAATGCATCGTTTACCGCGGACCAGACACAAAATACTATGGGCGCGACATTTGCTATGGCTACAACGAAGACACTCTTACCATTTACGACGTGACCGACAAAGCTGGCAACACCACCAATATCATCTCCCGCACTACATACCCCGGTGCAGAGTATGTGCATCAGGGCGTTGTCAATAATGCGACCTGGCAAGAATACCTCTTCCTTGACGACGAATTCGATGAGCGCGATGCCCGCGTTGGGCCCATGACGCAGGGTCTGCCGTAAGTGTTCCTGTATGAGCTGCATATGAGACATAGACTGACTTCGTACACTTACATCTAGTACGACCCACATATTTGACATCAGAGACTTGGAAAATCCGTTCTACTCTGGAAACTACGAAGGAAAACGCCGTAGTATCGACCATAACCAATACGTTGTCGGTGACCATCTCTACCAATCGAACTACGGAAACGGACTAAATGTTCTGGACATTCATTCCATCACGCAGGACCCAAGCGGCAACAGCATTTGTGAAGCAGGCTTCTTTGACATATATCCCGAAGATGACGAGAATGAAGGCGGCGGCACAGTAGCTTTCCTGGGCTCATGGTCCAGTTACGCAAATTTCAAAAGCGGTTTCATCTTCGTACACACCATCGAGCGCGGTAGTTTCGTAGTCAAGATGACTAGTAAAGAGTGTGCGAAGCCAGCGGTTTGCGAGGCAGACTCTTGTCTTGCGTCAATGCGTACAGCAAATGTTGAAGGTAGACTGGACGCTTCGCAGGAATTCTGCGGTAACTTCACGCAGAGATTGATCGATGACGTACAAGTTGTTCCAGAGTTTGCGAGGGAAGCGTGCGCTGGGGAAGATGTGGTGGCGAAGGTCAGTAGTGCATGCGCTTGCGTGCCTACTATTGCCGTGCCGGAGTTACCCAGGACGACGACTAGGGGTCCGGTGCCTACTGTACTGCCGCCTAGGGCGTAGATGGAAGAAGTTGTGGAGACGAAGGATAGCGCTGATAAGCAGAACCCGAGAATCATGATGGCGATATCCTGGTTTGGAAGCAAGGTGCGAAATGACGAGAACAACACTCCCATCTGCAACCATTCTACGAAACATCTACCATAATGAACATCATCTTGGCCTTGTTTGGAACATTGGTCAACTGTGAGAGCGAGCAAACTTTTCTGCGCGATGGACGTAGAACTAAGATCTGCAGAGCAGCATAAGCTGTCGTGATAGATTGATATATACGGTGAAAAAAAATAGATACAAGAGAAAAGGGAAGAGCCACAGGCCCTCCCTGCCACACCTAAACATTACTCCATGATGCTTTTCATCATGCCCCAATCCTCGTCTCAGCACTTAGCAAGAAGCGCCGGTAGGGATACCGGAGCAGCTAGTGCTCTTCTTTCCACCAGTGACGCTGTTGCCAGACCAGGTCCAGTTGGAGCAGCTACCCTTACCGCAAAGGATGTAGATGTCAGTACCCTTGGCGGCGACAGTACCCTTGACGTTCTGAATAGTGAGGCCAGTAATCGGGACACCGGTAGTGGGCTTGCCAGTGGGGGAGCCGTTCTCGTAGTCTTGCTGGATGACGATACCATACTTGGCGATGTTCTTGAGAGTGATGTTCTTGTAGGTAACGCCAGAGACGGAACCAGTGGCGCCAGAGACGGTCTTGATGCGGACACCGTTGTCAGAGTTGACAATAGTGTTGTCAGAGATGACGACGTTCTTGACTACGTTGTCGCTGCGACCACCAACGGAGCCGATGGAGATACCGTGACCGCCAGAGCAGGTTCCACCAGTGAAGTGGATGTCAGTACCGGAGTTGACAGCCAAGCAGTCGTCTTGGTTCTTGATGTTGGCGTTGGTGATGTAGACACCAGTGGAGCTACCAACATCAAAGGCGTCGGTGTTGTGGCCACCGTTGGTTACGTCACCAGCAGTGTTGTCGATGGTGATCTTGTCAAGGGTAAGGTCCTTGGCGCCGTTAACGGAGAAACCCTGGACAGGGGTGTTCTTGACGTTGAGTCCGGTGATGGAGGACGAGGTCATGGAGTGGGCGTAGAAAAACTTGCGAAGTCAGCAAAAGCTCAATAGAAGTTCTTGGTCCAACATACCTTAGGCTTCTTCTTGCCACCGTTAGTACCCTTGCCATCCCACCACTTTGCACCGTTTCCATCAATGAGGTGGCCAGCAGCACCAACGACCTTGATGTTGGTTCCGGAAACAGAGATGAGGGGACCCTCCCACTCCTTGTAGCCGAATGTGGTGGTGCCCTGGAAGGTAACAGTAGTACCAGACTTGAGCTTTGTCAAGTCAAGAGTGGTTCCTGCTGGGACTGTCATGTCTTTGATGACAATGGCAGTGCAAGAAGCCTTGCCCTTGATGGCGGCAGCAGCATCGGAGAATGTGCAGCTCGCACGAGTGTCCAGGCTCGAAGGAGCAGCAGAGACGAGCGCGCCAGCGCTGAGGAGGAGGGATGTGAGTGCAAAGGCAACCATGATGAATGTAGTTTGGAAAGAGTGACTTTGGAAATGAATGTAAGGCTGTTGTGTGAGAAGTGAATGAATGAGTGACTTGATGAGGCTCCGGGGAGGTGACAGCACCAGATCTTTATACAAGAGCTTCAACGACGGTGGCACGTAGTGATAGGTGGGATAGGTGGGACCATCGGAGGATTCACACACGACTCGTAGTCAAGCTCGAATCCTTCGAAGCTTGTCACTGCTGGGCAAGGCTTGTCACTGCAGAAGTCCAAGGGTCTCCGAGAAATGAGGGCACCAAGCAGATGGCTCTTGCGCGGATGTTTTCGCTGCCTGTAACAGGTGGATCCACGGTACAGGTTGCTCCGCTTCATATGAATGAAACGACACCAGGACTTGATCGCATCGTTCACTTGTTCATTGGCGCAATCGCAAAGCGTCGTCGGCCACTTCAGTTTCCATTTTTGTAAGACTGGCCAAGCATACTTGTTGCAACCAAGCATGTGGTTCTCCCGAGGCTCAAGCTTTTGCATCGTGGGAACTCCTGTGGGCCAATATCCGATGTTTGTGTCGAGCCGTGCCAGATTAATGGTGAAACGAAACGGGCCCACAACTGGTCTAGACGCGTGGCGCCGCTGTCGTGTGGCGCGATCATGTCAAACGCCATTGCGAATACGCAAGACACGGTAGTAGCGCCTGCAGCCGATTGATGGAATGTCTTCAGCCACTTGATGAAACAGCCACGCGATTGGAGCGATGTGCAGGATTCACGGAGAATTTTTAGAGTGGAAAGGGCAGTCGCATGACCTCTGGAGCGGTTTCCAAAGGCGAGGTGAAATTAGCGCCCGGCTAGCGTCCCGTCACCGAAAGCATCAGCGAGATCCCGCTGTTGCATGAACTCTCCCTCATCTCATGCTTACTTACTTAGGTGCATGTTGGAACGCCTCTTCACTGTAGAGCTTCCGCGTGCACATGATCAAAACAATTCTTAGCCACACTCGGCTTGCGACACGGTTCGGAATGTCACTTCTCAAGCCCGCAGCCCACGAATCAGGATAACACGGCAGGGAAGCAATTAGGTATAGCCGTCAATCTCGGATCTACCCCTAAAATTTACACCGCTCCAGGTCCTATGAGTAATCACCACCACCGCTGTTCTTACGGCCGCCGGACGAAGAAGCCTCGTTGTGGCAAGCCTTCTACGAACAGACCCCAAGCCATCCAGTTGCGCAGGAACACTATCGCCATCCGATGCACCTCTCTTCCGATATCCCGCGCATCTGCTATAGCCGTGTCCGCATCCATGATCATGAAAGCTCCCGTTACAGGTTTCATCGTATAGCAAACTAACCAGTCTAAGTGAAAGCGTACGAAGTCAGGGTATGTCTCACATGCAGTTCGTATAGAGGCACTTACCAGCGCACCAAAAGAGGTACAAGCAACGCGTTCGATAAACCTGCAGATCCAAGCCTTCAATCCATGGCTCCGCTACCATCTGCACTTCTTTCAGCCCATCGACAGCATTTCCGAAAGCACTTGCCAGGGCCGCCATGGACGAAAGCCGAGATTCATCGTCGATAAATCCTATGCCGATCAATTCGAGGCAGCGCCGCTCTAGTAGCTCTGCGAACTTGTGCAAGTTCGCGGTTGGGATTAGGTCTCCAATGGTATATGCTGAGTCTATAAGAGCTGATGCATAGTACGCCATTCGAGTCGAGATCAGGTCTCCTGGCAAGTCTCGGATAAACTTTCTCGCCTCTTCTGAAATCTCATCCAGAGGAGACTGTGGAAACAGTTTCACTCCGACAGGTAGATGAACATCACGACGTGCTTTGAGGACAACACCGTTTAGAAAGTCAGCTGCTGTAGGATATGTGCCTTCCAGATACACGTCGGTTTCCATTCTCTTTATCTCCAGTGGCAGATGAGCCCAGTTGTCCTTCTTGTATGTCTCGAACCGTTCTTCCAACAGACATCGTCCAATCTTCGGGATGGTCGGTGCTGGTGGTACGTCGAGCGTTCCTAGTGTTGCGAGAATGGCATTGAGTGAGACACTGTCGAAAAGAAGATTGTGGAAATGTGTGGCGTATTTTGCGATGGGAAAATTGGTTACCAATTCTGTTAGAGATAATTTTCCACGCAACACATCACTGGGCGACCCATTCAAGAGCTGGATATCTTCATCCGAGATAGCATTCAGGTGCAGGTCTGCGCTGATGCTGTTGCGTATAACATCCGGATCATCACAATCGTAGTACAACGCAGCATGTCCGCAATCGTAGAGTATTGTAATTGGCGAACTAGCTGCGTTATCTTGCGTTCCCAATGTTACTAGTGGTCGAGGCGTGGCATCACCTGTCAAAAATACGGTGTGGTTGCCTGATGGACCGGCTGCTTCACCATCGCGCGTCTCCCATATTACGGCGATCCGCAGATCCTCGAACATGTTTACGAAGTCGCCCTCACTATAAAAGCTCGGTGTATCCCGCGTCTTTTCGCTTGGAAGTCTCCATTCGTGTTGGTGTGTGGTGGAGGCTGCATTGATCGGACCGCCTAACTTGAATGCAAGAAGCGCGACCCAGAGGGGGTGCAAGAAGTCTTTCTGAACGGGCTTTGGTGTAGGACGATCGAGCGAACTAGATGCCAGCTCAGGCGACGAGTATAAACTTGCAGCAACCTTCTCTGCGGTTGTCGAGGCCGCAATCTCCACACTATCTGCAATTCCAAGGGAGAATGCGACAGCCTTTGAACTTTCCAGCGTTTGCGCCAAAACTAGAAACTTCTGCACAAGCGGGACAGCATTTTCCCGTTCCGCGAAGGCTTTTGTCTGCTTACACGCCGACAGAAGAGTATCCAGCATATCACGCCGATACTTCAATTTTCTGGTTGATATTCCAGCCCCCTGTGGTCTCTCCTCCAGTATTCGGGTATGGCGACGACATGCGACTCTGTCTGTAACGGCACGCCCAACGAGGCTGGGAGGTACCTGGACAGCGGCGTGGAAGGCGTGTGTTCGTTTCATCTAGGATTTGAGCAACTTTCGCCGTTTGAAGAGGCTTTGTACAAAGCGCTCAACAAAAGTATAATCGAGCTACCGGCGCTAGGCGTAGGATCTCGAGGAGGCACACTGGAAAAAATACTATAGTCGGAAAACCGCGAGATGAGTACAGCCCTAGGAAGTGAGTAAAGCGGCAGAGAATCCCAGAGAAGTAGATGTTGTTTTCTTACCAAGCTCTTTGACAAGTCCAGCCTCGCCTACTTGAGGCCAACAAGCGGTTTGAGACTGTCAAGCACATGGCAGATGTCCAACACCACGATCAAACAGCCACTCTGCCCTTGCACCCACCCACGTGCCTTTGCTGTCTATAAATTCTGCTTTGCCGTCTATTAGCTACAGATCGGCAAATATTGCCTTCATGCTATTATTAAGGTATGCGACCTACTCGTGGTATGATCAGATGGCGCTGAGCTAGGCTGATCATGTCTTATCCTTGATTGACAAGATTGGACTACACAACGCTCTCAACAGTCTCGGGTCTGTGAGTTCGTAGTGGCCGCGATCAAACACATACCTTCAATTTTCGCACCTTGGAAAACAACCACCTCGCACTATGCCAGACGAAAAACCAACGGGAAGATGGTGCTATTCTTCCCATGTAACTTCCAGATTTCGAATTGAGCAATCGATCGTATCCAGTTAACGTCCGTCCGCGATGCTCGTGGCCCTTTATTCAAGTCGTATTTGTCAGGCCCTCGTCGCAATACCATCGTATGCGACACATACGTCAACGCAGAGTGTAGCTGCTGAATTTGAGCACGTCTCATCTCTTTGTCTAAGATCAGTTTGCGACAGATCTCAGCATACCTGGCAGCTTGAGTTGAGGAAGTGTCAGTATCAACGAAGACGAAACCATGTTGCGACATGTAGGCAGGGGTTACAGAACGGCTGCTTATGTTCATTGTTTCAATCCTCCATGCAACGAACGCGGCCTCAATATGAGGAATGAGGAAGATGGTAGGGCGTTCGCTCGGTATGTCGGATGTGGCACAGTCTGGTCGTGTCTTCAAGCCACTCGCGACTTCAGAAAGATCGACGTCAGCGATGAGGCTTATCAGGGCTCGAGCGCAATGACCAGGAAATCCAGGTAAGCAGAGATGACTCATCAGGCCGAAGTCGCGTGCTCTAGTATTGATGAATCCACCATGCGATGTACGGAATTGTAATCAAATGAGAGCACATGCGTACTGTAGTTTAGCCTGGTTACCTCCCGACGTGCGCTTGATCTTAGAGATTCTTCATTTGAGCCTACGAGGCATCATGGAAGAAGACACGCAAGACTCGCTTGCGTAGTTGCTTCATGTATCAAAGTCAGCGACTGTTATCATGTAGCTCCTGAAGCTGCCGCCTTGAACAATACGTTCGACTTGTAAGAGCTTTTTCTTTCACTGCTAATAGATTATCTGCCGTCCGAGTGGTTCCTCCAATAGCTTGCTGGGGGTCTGGTCGTATTTCGGGACTCGCTGCAGCTCACTGCCGATAGTTCTTCCGCGACAGACTTCTAGTGCGTACAGTTCGCAGACGTTGCTGTTAATGCGTTCGAGATGGAACCACCGGAAAAGTATGTAAGCATCGAAATAAAGCCGGAAGATCGTCTGCGCGTCGAAGAAGTGGGTTTGTACAGCTTTTGAACCAGGCGATCGGGCTTTTGTTCTACCGTCATCAAAGGCCTCCCCTTAAACGAAAACCGTGGGTTCGTCATCAGCTTACCCGATAGCTCGATTTGCAGGCCCAGAGGCGAAGAGAATAGGGTTGCCGTACTAGGCTAAATCAATCAAGGCTCAAACGTCCATTGCGCGTTCGCACATGGCGTTCATCTTCAATGTCAGCCCTGCGGCGTCAATGCGACATGCTGGCAAACTCCGACCTAAGTATCATGTTCAGATCAGGGCAGCAATCGGATGCGACGGGCGCCGCTGTAGAAAATCAAAGGGCACTCTAGACGAAACGAAGAAGACAAGGAAGGACCGACTTCTATACACTAGTAAATAAACTCAGCGCTTGGACTTGGTTAAATTACCCACACCCCAGGAACATCAACGCTTCGGTCCGTATACGTCTGGGGAGTACTGCGCAAACTGGGCTTGGAAAATGGTTGGCGTGTGCCAAAGTCAAGAGCTATTCGCTGTTTCGAGTCAACGTTGCGGCCAAATGTTAAGCTTTACGGCTTGGACACCGACGAAAGACCATCAGCTATAGGGCAGTGGCCAATATGAGAAGTATGTAAGAGCCGCGACCTCTTCAGATAGTGCTTCAATCATCACTCGCACATCCTGCAAGTTTCCCTTCAACCTCTTGTTTGAATTTTTTGGCTACTAGCCGTCCTCTCATTTCGAAATGCGTGTCTCGAACGCTGCCGCTCTTTTCTCTTTGGCCTCTTTGGCTCAGGCTGCTCCGGCCATTCATAACCACAAGCATGCTCACCCACGTGATGTCGGCTACGGTAGTGGCGTGAAGTACCAGTCTGGTATCTTCTACGTCAACTGGGCCATCTATGCGCGTCAGCACTTCGTCACCGATCTCCCAGCCGACAAGTTGACCAAAGTCAACTACGGCTTTGCCAACGTGAACAACCAGACCGGAGAAGTCTTTCTCACCGACGAGTGGGCTGACATTCAGTACGGCTACCCAGGAGACGTTGCCACTAACGGCACTCAATTGCTTGGCAACTTCAATCAGCTGTTCAAGCTCAAGCAGCAGAACCGCAACCTGAAGGTCATCCTCTCGGTCGGTGGCTGGAGCTACAGGGCCAACTTCAAGCCCGCCCTCGCCACCGAGGCGGGCCGCCAGAAGTTCTGTGACAGCGCTCTCACGCTCATCCAGGATCTGGGAATCGACGGTCTTGACATTGACTGGGAGTACCCAGAGGATGAGACTGATGGTGCCAACTTGGTTGACACCCTACAACGCTGCCGCAGGGTATGTATTCATTTTCAAAACCTTTACTGTCCACCAAGTTAACATGTCTTCAGACGTTCGATGAGTACGCGATAGTTAACGCGGCGGGTTACCACTTCGACCTTGGTATTTCTGCCCCTGCTGGTCCTTCGCGCTACACAGTCATGCCTGTTGCCGAAATGGACCCATACGTTGACAACTGGAACCTGATGGCTTTTGACTACCAGGGCCCTGGCTTCTCCAACTTCACTGGTCATCTCAGCAACGTTTACCCCAGTTCCAAGAACCCCAGGGCTACAAATGGCTGGGATGTTGTCACTGAGGACTTCGTCCCCTTCAACACCAAGGAAGCCATCGACTACTACAAGGCTAATGTTGCTTCGCCCAGCAAGATTCAGCTCGGTATGCCTCTTTACGGCCGCTCTTTCGCCAACGTCGTCGACCTGAGCAAGGAACAACGTGGTTTGGGCCAGAAGTTCAACGGATCTGGTGACGGTACCTGGGAGCCTGGTACTCTTGACTACAAGGTTCTTCCCCAGAACGGCAGCAAGGTATACCACGACAAGGAGACTCTGGCCGCCTGGAGCTGGGACCCAGTTCGCAAGCAGATGGTTAGCTTCGACACACCCAAGGTTGCCTCATGGAAGACCGATTACCTCATGCAAGAGGGTCTCGGTGGTGCCTGGTGGTGGGAGTCATCTGGCGATTTTCCCGTTACTGATGACAAGAGCATCGTCGCCACTGTTGTTAACAAGCTTGGTGGTGAAGCAAACTTCAGGCAGAGCTGGAACAACCTTTACTACCCCAAGTCGAAGTACTACAACATCCGCCCTGCGGTGAACTCGACTATTACAATCACCTTTTAGATAGTGAGTCCGGCGTCCTCAATCAGGCAACTCAAAGCCAGCCGATAATTCTTTTCTATACAACTACATTTTAGAAGAACATTTTGCTTGCACTATTGTCGCAAGGGCTTAATGCAAGAGATGCACGTGATGCGAACTCATGAGCAACTCGCACAATGAATATGTCAGCTTCCACTGTGACCATATACTGCCTATTGTTCTATAATCTCGGAAGTTCAAATCATCATGCCTCTCCTGTTTCACTCTAACATCTCCCTACAATCCTCTCCTGTACGCATATGATACCCAGGATTATCAAACAAGCCTGTCGTGAGCACCTGTCCTTGAAGCTCCAGCCGCTGCAGCGGATTTCCTGATAATATCATAGGGAAGGTCTGGCAAGATACACTGATGAAGGCGTAAAGGCCGAAGCAATGAACATGAGTATATCACCATCAGGCAGACTAATGATATTCTCCTCCATGTTGACAATGACCAGATCGTCGGGCTTATGCATCAATGTATGTTCACCGCTTTTACCGAAAGCTTCCAGTGTAACGGGGAGAAATTCGGAGGCCCAGAGTGATTAAAATGTCTTGAAACAAGAAGACAGAGGTTGGCCTTATGGCCACTGGTAAGTTGTCACTTACTGTGCACAGAAAAGATGAGTGCACATGATCAAATGCTAGACGCTCGGTCTTCCGTGTACGCCTTATGATCAACTCTGAACTTGGTGACTATGTTCATTACGGTAAGAGTATCGTGATACTTAATTGCTAGGGGTCTTCTTCATTGAATGATTTGGATCTGGTGGAGGGTGTATGGCGGCGAAGAGCAAGACGTGATGGTCCAACTGAACCTAATCTCAAACCCGCACCACGACGTCATCCCTGCCAGCTACTGATCTGAAAAGTGCGGCTCAGATCGGACCCACTTCCCAAGTAAGCAACACCTGTCTGTACAACCCCACCAACATGAATGCCATTGTGTTCCGCTGTTCCAGTCTTCTCAGGAACCAATACAAGCCATCTGGACTCAACAGTATTCGGATCTACTCACCTGCGACGAGATTGGTGAGCAGCATGTCGCAGCCTGTGCGACCGCGGCGGTTCGCACCGTTGGATCCCGCGAAAAGGATGGATGGAGATGAGAGGCCATTATTGAAGGGAATCGTCTTTGATGTCGACGGCACATTATGTAAGTTGTCCAATGGTGTGTGCGATACATAATTTCATGTACTAATTAACTGGGAAAAAAGGCTTACCACAAAACTACATGTTCGCGGAGATGCGGTCAGCGCTGGGTATTGAGAAGCCAACGGACATTCTGGACCA